ACTTCAACCTATTGGGTTTTCTATTTTTCTCTACGCTGGAAAACTATGCTTTACTACTTTTTTCAATTCCACGTTGGTCAACGTGGCTGGTTGCTGTTTAAGGACTCCTGGTCGCCATCCTCGCCCTGCTCCCTCCGACCCCCCCTCGCTTCGTTTCGGCCCCCCATTCCCCCTCTTCGCGATCATTCCCCTCGCTTCCACCTCCCCGCGCTCGCCCCCTTTTTTCCTCGCCCCCCCCCCGGCCCCAAAGCGCCTCAATCTTGCCCCCCTCGCATTTTTGGTCGCGTCACAAGTCTGGCCCAGGGCCCGCAGACCCCCGCAAACCTCCCAGCACTCGCAACTCCTTTTCCCCCTGCTCATCTCCTTCCTTCTCTTGCGTATCATCCTTCGCTTCCCTTCCTCCTTCTCTTTTCCTCTTTTCGTTTCCTTTCTTTCGTTTTCTCGTCGTCGCTCTGCTCCTCCTCCTCAGCATATTCCCCGTCTGTCCGCCCCCCCCCCCCCCCCCTTTCCCCGTCCGCCCGCCTCTCTTTCGCGTCGCTGCGGGCGCGATCCCCGGCCTGCGCCCGCGTCGCGGCGCCCGCGCGCGGGCGCCCGCTGCCGCGGCTGCGGAGGCCCTCCAATGCCACCAGAAGACCTGCCTACATATGCAGACAGGAGGGAGCAGGCGGAGGCCGGCAATCCATCCTAAACCACGAGGCTCGAAGGGTAGAGGAGAGCAGAGGGGGGGGGGCTGGAGGTCGTCCGTGCCACTCGCATCCTGCGAGGTGCTCGAAACGTAGCACCTTGTACGTAGCGTCGTACATGCAACACTCATGTCCGTGGCGCAGTGGGCGGCGCATGGGGATTTGTGCCGCGTGTCGGCGTACTGTGGCACATCGTAGAAGTTGGGGCAGCAATTCAGATGTAGGTGCGGTGCTCCCAAAATAGGCGTTCTCATGATGGGCCATCACCGAATGCGCGCTTGTGTGTCCCCTCCACGGTAGCTGTCGGCCTACGCTTGCTGTACGAATGGGTCGGCGATGGTAAGCCCATGGGCTTATAGTATTCGTCATTCACCACGTGGCTGTACTGATCCAGCCAATCTAACTTTGTGAACTACCGGTAAGTGTGAAGATGGTAACATATCACCTCGTTTGGTAGCTCCCTTTCTCCGTGGTTCATGTCGTGGACCTCGAACACCGTGTAGCGGTAGCGGTTTGGCGTTTGATCGCATTCTGGGTATGCATGTCCGACGGTCTTGGCGGCGATAGCGTGCGTAAGGTCGCCGATGGCTGGAGTAATCGTAGCAGTCGCCAGTATGACTTCCTGGAAAGCTGTAGGGTCCCACGTGCCGCCGACTGCCAAGGGTGTGCCTCCACGATCACGTTGTTGCGAGCCGAAGCCTTGTAGCTGTTTCGTAAAAATATAAATATTTATTGACCCTCGTGCGGTCCCTGTGGCCTCTTTTCGGTGGTAACACACCGTGTGTCCTCTTCGCATGTGGCTTTGTGTATGTCAATGCGTTTGTTGTGGGATTATTTGAACTGGTGTTTCAATGGGGATTTGACGTCTGCGATATTGGAATAAGTCTTGTCGTCCGTACCATGTGTACTTGTGCAGACCACCTGTATCCACTTTTCTCGTAGCTTAGCCAGATGCCCGCCTCCGCAAACGGAATAACTTGCTCGCTGGGACGTCAGGTGTAGTATCTTGAAAGTTGAGCGCGTACATATAGGCGGTCGTTGATATACGCCTTTAGGTGTGGCCAAGTGCTCGTGCCAGTAGCTACTGAGATGACATTGGGATGTTGAGCGGTTGGTTTAGTACCGTACGGTGATCGGGTAAACAAAAAGGGATAAACAGGCGGGCGGGCGGGCCGGATCGTGGACAGTGTGTTGATCGTAGCTTGTATTGTAAACTGGTCCTGCGGCTTCTCGAAAGGAACCCGCCGACTCTGCCGTCCTGTGGAAGACTCTGTTCTGTTTGACTCGTCGTCGTCGTCGTCGTCATTGTCGTCGTCGTCGTCGCCGTCGGCTTCGCGTTTGACCCACCTTTCCCTGGGCCCGTTCCGCTCAAACCCCTTTCACTGGGTCCTCCTCCTCAAGCGGGCCAATCACAGCGAAACCAAAGCTAAATTGAGTAATGTCGTAGCTGGATCGGAAGGAAGCCGCGTCCCTTTGATCCCTTTCCACCCAAAGGGGGGCGCCAGGGGGGGGGGGCGTCCTGGAAGGGTTTCTGGGGGCCTGGGGGGCATCAGTGTATACAAAACGCCAAAGATGGCCTCCTGACAGCCCAAGTGGCTGCCACGACGCCCGACTCAATCTCTTTAGGTTTTTGACGGATTGTGGCATTCTCGTTTTGTCGGCTCCCCGACGCCCAAAAACGGCCCGAGATGCCACCGAGATCGGCACACGAGGCCCCCAAAAGGTACCCAAGACGGCCCCCCTATCCCGTCCCTGGACCGTGGCCGCTTCGGTTGAGCTGCCCGTGGCCGGAAACTGGAGCGGTGCCTGTTGACCGC